TAAGCTCACAAAGTGAAAAAGTTAAAAGATGAAAGAATGTGCAATTTCTGTTAGACCTTAGTCTTTGTGGAAACCTTATCTAAACATTATCTTTTGATATGATTATCCTGACCTTGCTCTCTGCGATCACAATATTGACATTGCTTGAATATTGAATATTGAAGATGCTTCAGATCTTTTGGCTCCAATTAGTTGATTTTTCAACATAGTTGATTCGTTTTCCACAAGAAAGCTCAGAAAGTACCTCAGAAAGCCACCTGTGTGATGGTCCCATTGTACTGTACTGTATGTCTTAGGCTATGTGACAGCATCTTAATAAGCAAATTGTCTTCATTTTAAACATCAGTTAAATTATTGTTTTCTTGTTGTCCGTTGCTGTCCAGTTTTTTAGATATTATTTCCCCTTTTGTGTACATATGCAATTTGTTCTGTATGCTGTGTTTGCTGCTCACTGGGAGACAATTGTCAATTCAAATTTCAAATTCCACGTAGTAAATTGTTTTAACACGTTACACATTACACCCGCTTTCATCTGTTCAAGTATCACTGTTTCTCAACATCATTTTCCAAGCCCGTGAACCTGTAAAACAAACCTGTAAGACCATTGAGTAAGTGAGTAAGACATTTCAATATTAATTATTATCTTAAACTCTGGTTCTTTAAATTTTCGATTCCATGAAACACCCTTGACTGGCACTGTCCAGGGTGTTGTCCGTGTGTCAGAAAAGCCTGTGGGCGGCCACTTACAGTAACTTCACTGGGACAAAGGATGAAATACTCCCCCTTAAGAACATACCACTAATAAATTCAGTTTCCTTGTTTCTTATATTCTCGATTGCTTTTAGAAAGTGGCTGCATGTTTGAATAAAGTTCTCGTACAGCTGGTATCACTGGAAAGCAGAAAATCGGAGTACCGGGTACTGTAGAATAAACCAGTTAACTTCTGTTTCCTCCTTACACTAGCAGGCCATTAAGCTGTCTGGGGCCTACAGTGAACAACACATGTTGCGTGATCCATCTTGAATTGCAATGACTTCTGCTGCTCCACACCTGAGCTGAAGTTTACAGTGGTCATCTGGTGCTGCCTGTGGTACAACTCTTTCACCAGCAGTCCACAGGACCAAGGACATCCTGGTTTCTGTAGTGGACTCCCAGTAAAACACCCTTTTGGTGAGGTGATAGTTCATCATAGGTTTGGCTGTTATCACAGTTGATTTGCTGAGGCAACCAGAATGAGTTATCTTGCTTCATCAGCCTACAGCTACAAGGGGCACAGTACTCTAGTAATGTGTCCATACTTCTCACTCATACAAGATCATGGCAGCATTTCTTGAAACGAAATCATTTTTTTTTACTCTACATTGGATTGCTCGGGTCAGTAGCTCGCCAGCTGTTTCATTTGGCAAGCGGCATTTGTCAATGAGCCAAACACTGTGTAGCAGTGCTGGCAAAATCTCCAGCCTAGTGGAAGGTTTACTTTTGACACCTGAGCAATATATACGATACATATAATCCCAACAGCCAATTTCAAGGACCTTTCTAGATCTCTGAATTGGAAACTTCAGCATTTATCATAAATTGCCTTATATATCAAATATAACTGAGAAGCTGTTTTGTCTGATTGAACTGAATACAGTACATATCTCTCAAGGGAAAACATGAGTTTAAATCTAATTTAAGCTTTTGGATATGTTTTAGAAAGCTGAAAATGTTTAACAAGCACTCGGCATTTAAATCCATTATGTAATTTAAATCTAACATATACTGTTCCAATATTTAAATCACCAAATATACAGTATATGGGCTTTATTTACAATATTTTTTAACATGGTGACATTTATCTTTAAGCTTTATTGGGATATAACTTGAGTTTTTTAGGGATTGGCAAATACTGTATTTGCAGTACTGTACAGTACATACTGCATTTGCAGTCTTCATCTGAAAGAATGTTTGTTTTCTGATTTGTTTAATTTAATTATTTTTCTGACGGAATGTTGGAAATATCTGCAATATATACTGTGTGTGTGTGTGCTAGTCCATCATACACTACTGTATAAACAATTTCAATGTTAGGAACAGAACTCCAGACCAACCTTTCTCTGGTGTTCCTGGTCAAACATCTTTGTAGCAGGTGCAAAATAAACTTCCAGAACCAGACAGGTTAAAAGATGCACAGCTGTGTGAGAACCCTGCATGTATTTTAGAACTAATCAAATCTAAAGAAACTGTGTCATGCCCCAACAGCCACTAGCAAAGATTTAAATATTAAGAACACCATTATGCAGCTTTTTCATCCAGTTTTTAAAGATCTCTTTGTTGGCTGGATTGAAGCAGCTGAACAGCTTTGTCTCCTTTCCTTAGATAATGCTGATCTAAAGACAGACGGTACACCTGATTTATACTATAAACTCTAGTACTAAAGTATTCTTAACTTTCAAACAGCATATTAACAAAAAATTGAATTGAAAAAGGCAGTGTCTACACTGTAAATAGTGTTCCTCTATTTACAGAGGAACACTAAGGTTCAAGGGGTGATTTTGTAGTGATAACCACAAAATCACCCCTTGAGATATGATACATCACCATAAAACAATAGCAAACAGACGTCAAGGTAATATTTCAGCACCCCTCTTCTGTTTGCTGTTGCAAGCCAGAGGCATCTTTTCACTGGTTATTTTAGAAAGAAGATGCAGATGTTCCCAAACTGGTTTTTAAGGCAGAGTGTTTTAACTAGCAGCCTCCTCATATGTTTTAATTTTAAAAGTAAATGATAAAGAACTGAGAGTTGTGGGAGAGGGCATTTTAAAAAGCACCAGGAACTGCAATTCATAACCCAGATTGGTCATTATTTATAGATCAGCGGCACTGAGTGAACTGACAAGAGGTCTCCCACACCACTCATTACAGCATGTGAAATATTCCATTACAGTGTGGCGGTTAGGATTATGGACTGTGACACATGCTAGAAAAGATTCATCCTTCTGAAAAACTGTTAACCTATATATGAGGATATAGGCTAATGAAATTCCCAGATAAGGGTCATATTTCTGACGTACAGTATAGCCTACAGCTTTTCCCCAGTAATTTCCTCAATCTAAACCAATCGGCTTCAGTGGGCAGGTGAATGTTATGAGGGAGAAATTCAAAAGATGAGCAGCAGTTTTCAGTTTTTATTGCTTGATGTAAGCCAGAGTTTGACAGGAAGCAAAATGTATTATTTGAGTGGTGCTTAAAAGCACCAAAATAAGGAGTGAGAACAGGAGCCTAAAAGAAAATTGTCAAATAGCGCTCAAATTAATCAAGAACGCCCTTCGCAGTACAATGACCAAGGAGACACCAACAGAAATGGCCAATTTATGTACTGAACATTAAATTATTCTGTACAAAAATATTCAGTAAAGATAATTCACTTATATTTTGTATCAGCAAAGAATATTTGTTTTTCTAGTTTAGTAGTTTAATGAACACAAAAGCCAGGAATTACAAGCACCTGGCTTTGCTTGTCTTTTGTTTAGAATGTGTCCTGCCTATTCTTTGCCTCTTTCCATTTTCACAGATCTAAAGACAAGAAAATGTATTATGTACAAAAATGATTTTTCTTATCATGTCAATCGCACATCTAAGGACAGTAGTGAATGTGACCCACAAAAGATCTTCATGGACAAAATGGCATCTTCAGCCTTCTAATCTCTGAAATGGTGCCCCGGTAAAATGTCTGTGACGTATCTGCTGGCTTTTCATAGGGCCAGAAGAGAGAGATTCATTGAGTTCATATTAAATATTGCCTTCAGGCAAACTTTCAAAACTGTTTCAGAGAGGCAAACAAAACAGTCTTGATAATGGCTTTGTTGCCAAAACCTTGAATTTTTTATCTTTTTGGCCTTTGTGTTTTTTCTGCCTGATGATGATTTTTTTAAGAAAGATGAAGTCAATTTAATACTCTGAAACTTGTCGTTTAATCAAATTCATTCGATTTGCATTTTTGGGTTTTTTTCATGTGAGAGATGTGCCTTCGGAACTTTTACATTTGATTGATAAGGGGTATTAAATGATTGATTCATCTAGCCCATTTGGCAGGTAGTAGGCAATTGATCCAAAAACCTCATTCAGCCATTTCTTGAAAGAAGTCCGAGTAAGAACTTCAACAACATGGTAAGGTAGCTTGTTCCATACTTCCACATCTCTTTGTGTAAGGATGCCCTTGCTGTTCTTAATTTTATATCCACATCCACACAGTTTCCACTTCTGCCCTCTACTTCAGTGGATGATTCAATTAATGAGATCCAATGGGCTGTCAATGATTTAGAGAACTGTTTTGCCTTACCTCTTGAGGAAAATCCCCTTTTCAGGTGTGTAACAAGTTTCATGTGTAGTGCCATCACAAGCATTTATCCCTGCAGTCTATGAGGTCAAGGCAAGTATAATTAACATGTTGTTTGGACTCATCTTGAGGATTAGGCTATCAGGGGATAAATGCAATGTATTTGGGTAGGGAAGTGCCTTTGGGAAAAATTGGAAGATTTTAATAAAATGTTGGAGGAATTCTACATTGAATACATTTAAAAACATTTTCTTCACTGGGTAAAAGAAACCGTTAGTCTTGTAGTGCAGACTTCCTGCAAAGTTGACATGTGTCTGTTCTTCTGGACCAAAACCGAAGACTGAAGGACAGCTAGATCCTCATTGATCAGATATGGAGTCAATTAGTCTAGATTTCTGCCACTGATCGAGGCTCTCTCAGGTCCCTTCACCCGCATAAAGGGGCTGTACTCTGACCTGACAAAAAAATCCACTTGCTTGCTCCAGTGGAGGAGCAGAACACTCTTTGTTGTATTACAGACCATCTAGTTCAGATTTTAATATAAAGGTTTGGGCTGTTTGGTCCTCTTTGTTTGCAGCTATTCAGAAATGGAGCACAAAAATGTCAAGCTTTTCTCTGAAAGCCTTTTGTACTTGCGACCTGTTCCCTCTGAGGTGGTGATGTGCTGCTTTTCCTCTAGGGGGAGACAGAACACCGAATTTAACCAAGCTGAATCGCGTGAAAAAATATCCAAAAGACTGGAGGTCCCCCTGGTGGCGAGAATCAACCAAAGCACCCCTTGAAACAAGACCACAACAGGTAATCTAAACCCTTTGTATTTCCGTTACTTCAACTCATAAACTACATAAGCCCTGTCTTGAAACAACAGTTTATGTTAAACTTTGTGAAGCACTGACTTGTCTGTGGGCAAATACTACTACAAATGAAATTGTGTTGAGGCCACACTGACACCTTCTGACTGAACACAAACACAGTTAATTCACCTGGAATGTGAAGAGTTAATCCATGGGAGGAATTAGTACTTTGTAAACTGTATTGAGGGCCTTTGGCTTATGGTTAATTTCATTTTTTCAGCTCTTTAATTGCAGCTCCCTTTCTAAAATGCTTCCAGTTGCAAAGACACCTCACTTTGCATTGCAACTGTCAATTCAGCTGTCTCCATTTCTGCAGCTTTGTTTCTGTCCATTTAATGACTCCATATGCTCCAGAGGATTCTCTCTGAGGTTAGAAGGGCTTCCAGATATCTGTTCCAGATGATCTCCCAGTTACTTTATTGAACATGCCGCCCATTTTAAGGTTCTCGATTAAATTGTTACAGTCCTCTAGAAATTGATTATTTGCTACTGATCTATAAAACCTGCTGGACTACAGCTCTTCAGAGCACCTTTGAGAGACCTCTGCTATAAAGAATTGTATTAAGATCAATCAAAGTACACAGGCTCTGGATTTTAACAATTCTAATTGTGGAAGAAAAGAATATTCAGTCAAATACAAACATTTAAGGGTATGCTCATGATTATAAATGGAAATGGCAAGACATGAAGAAAAGTTTATTGCTGTATAAGTGTTGCTGAACTGCCAGATACATTGGGTCTGGTCCATTTCTGTTCTGTGTGTCGGTCCTAGACTTGCCTGGACTTAAATCCACATACATCTTGAAAGCCTTGAATCTGAACAGCATTTACTTCATATTCATCAACACTGTAATGCTGACTGCATACAAATATGTATGTGTAGGAAAAGGAGTGTTTAATGGTAACTCCAAGAATAGAACTACAGTATTTCTAAATACAACACTAGAAGATAACATTGAAGAAAATGTTGTATGTAAATGTTTGTATATCATAAACAAAAACTACCACCCAATTTTTAGGTTTCTGCTAAAAAATTAAACAATTAGACAAACAGAAGCGTAAACTACTGTCTACTCGATTGTATTTATTGTCTTAACCCATTTGTTAATTAACAGTTTGTAATCAAATAAAGTATACAGTACTAATCCCTTTGTTATAAAATGGTGTTGATGTTTTTGTGGAATGTCATTGACTGGTGACACGTTTGCAAGCACTGTACTGCTAGGAGTTGTGAAATGCTCACTGCTTTCACATGAAAACTCCACTGCAAGCAGCAGGCTGGAAAATGTTGTTGTCTCCTTACGAGAGGCCAGGTGTGTGTGTAACTCCTGTCAGTTATCCTGTCAGTTATCTGTTAGATGACTAAGCTAACACTAGAAAGCTACTGTTGTATGGCTTCATGATTTCTATTAGGTTGAGAATAATAGGAATGAAATGTATGTTTGAATATTTTCTGAAAACCTTTTTTTTCCCCAATACACTACTGCAGATCACTTTCTGTCTTCACTGCCAGAGATTAAAATGGTGACAGCTTGTGGAGAGATTTTAAATGCTTCTGGGTGTATAGTGAAGTCAGTGATTTCTCCATGTTTTGTAAAGCAGCTGAGTTAATAGCATTTTCTCAAAATGCAATTAATATTAAATAGATGAGACTCGGTGGCTGATTAAATCAAAATTGCAGCCCACAAGGTTATATAAATTACCTAGCCCCCTACTTCAAAAGGCAAATATAAGAAGATTCTTGCAGATAGAAATATGCCATGAAGCATTTAATATAAAATTTCAAAATAGCAGGGTAGGTCTCTGCAATATTATATACTGTCTGCTAGATATATAACCCTTTTTATTCAAGACATATAATTTGGAGATTTGAACCTTTTAATAGTATTTTTCTGAGAACAAAAGGAAAAACATAATGGCATTTACGATGTTAATTCGATTTTTTTATTTTGTACAGAAAAGCTTTGGCTACATTTATACCAGACCTTTCTGATTTCTGTTCAGATATGTCATGAAAAATATCAAATATCAGAATGTGTAGTCGCACCAGGATTCTACACAAAATAATCTGGTTAATGCTCTCCTACCCAGCTGTGGTAAATCCGTTCCTGTGTTTGAATTATACATTCTGCGGTAAAAAAAAACTGAAAGGCATATTGCAAGCTCTGTTTGTAACTCAGGTCTAAAATGGGGCCTGGCAACGTGTGCTGTGTCATGCAGGGATCTATCAAAGCAGCAGACAGGTGTGGTTTAAAAATACTGCCTTTGTTGCTACCCCCTGTTGCCTTTTTACAACACATCTAAAAACAAGCATGGACTCTTCCTTTATGCCACTCATGCTCATTGCTCACTGTTCTTCAAAGACACAGTGCTTGAGCACTGTTCAAGAACAATGAGCAAATCGACATTGAGCCTGTTTTTATTTTTATTCAGCTGTTTTTTAGACTCTGATCAATATAAATAATCCAATCAATATTAGGGCTGAATAAACAGTATATATACATAAAACTGGGGGCACTGTGGCACAGTGGTTAAGATTTCTGCCTTGCAGCGCTGTGTTCAATTCTGGACCCAGCGTGCTACAGTACCTGTAGTTTGTACTGCCTGTTCTCCCCATGTTTGCGGGGTTTTCCTGCGGGTGCTCTATTTTTCTCTCCCTGTCCAAAGACACAGCCGTGGTAGGTTAATTTGGATTCTGGGAAACCTGGCCCTGGTGTGAGTGTGTCTGTCTGTGCGTGCCCTGTGATTGGCTGGCGTCTTGTCCAGGGTGTACCCCGCCTTCTGCCCATTGCTTGCTGGGATAGGCTCCGGCTCCCTCCACAACTCTTGACCAAATGATGCAGTTAGAAAATGGATTGGTGGATGTACAGTATATAAAACGTAATTCTTCCATAAGCAATTTCATTCAATTCTTTTTTTAGTTATTCATTATTTTCATTGTCTTTAAAAGTATTATTGAATATCACTTAAGAAGAGGTTACAAATGAGAGGAAGATCACCATCCCTGTCTGGTCTGTTTCAATGCCAGCAGCTGTTGATCTGGGTTGCCAGCATTGACAGCACTGCTCTTCAGTTCCCATCGCTGGTTCAGAGGAGGAGAGAGATTAAAGGATGAATGCAGCAAGAGATTGTTTACTGTGACTGAATTTTGACTTGTTGTCATTGTAAAGCATTGCTCACCCACCAGTCCACCAATCCATCATGAGGAAGCTACTTATTCCTGGCAAGTGTCATGGCAACCAAACGACTATCCTGAAAACACAGGACCCAAGACCAGACTGCAGCCAGGATGGGTTATAGGGCAAATACAGACAAGTGCACCAGGGCAATAAACTGCAGAGACACCAGCCTGGCTTTCGAAGGTGTGTGAAGAATGGAACAGCAGAAGAAAATCCACATGAGCATGGTGAGAGCATACAAACTCCACACAGAAGGAATTTCAAATCAAACCCAGGACCTGGAACTTCTATAGGAGCGGAGCTATTGTAGCTTCCACACCACTGTCACCCACCAAGTACTCTACAAGTATGTAATAAAATCGACTTCCCAGAGAGACAATTCCAATCCCACGACTGACCACAAGACTTTTTGTATGCCTGCTGCTGTCCATCATAAACACACCTCCTTTGAATTTCCACTAAAGCCCTGAGGTTTGTTTATGTACTGAGAATTATTCAACTCAGTCTTACTACAGTGGCGGTACTGCTTTTATATCTGAATCTCCAGTCTTGTTTTGCAGAGCACCAGGAGAAATGTGAAGTGATTATTAGTTCAGAAGTGAGATGTGTGACCAGAACTTACAGTATTGAATTTGTATCTCAGATTTTGCTTCATGAAATGCCGATTGTCATTAATGAGTCGTCCACTGCCTTTGAAATTTTAGATTCCAGGTCCTTGTCTAATTTCTGACATTCTGAAATGCACTTTCACACAATACATGAATATCCTAATTTACATGGAACTTTGCAAGGGAGCTGCAGAATAACTTACGATACCATCATCATTACCTCCTGTTGAAGGAGGAAGGAACTTATCAGATTTGCCAGTGCCCTCCAGCAATTAAAGGGTTAAGAGTTTGGCTCCAGATGGAGTATTGCAATCTAGCACTGGGCTGAAATCTGTTCTACTAGACCCAGGTCAGGCTTCCAGTATAGAATATACAGTTGCACCCCACATTCCAGCTACCATCTGAGGTAGAATTCTCAGTACACCATCCTTGCAGCCTACACAAGCATCGCACCTGTTCCAGCGAAAGGCCCTGATGACACAGGGATACTCATGGGAGCATAGAAGCATGACATTTCTCCAGCAGGCTCATTACTATTAGTGCTACTAGTTGTAGTGGTTTAGGAGCTGGACCAGAACACTAGAGAAACAGGAAAATGGTTACTTTAAAGCAGACTGGCGCACTGTCATTTCGAATTTTACGAACAATATGTCTCCCTCACTTACAGTAAGTACAGTAAGCTTGGAAGATGCAAAAAAAATAATAGGTGGAGAATGTGGTTGAAGTTGATACCATCAGGAAAAGCCTGGTTAAAATCCTTGGATCAATTCAGTAATAACTTCCAACTGGGCTTACCGTGTCGAATGGCCTCTTCCTCTTCGTAGCCTTTCTCTAGCTCTTCATAGTCAATACTGATGCTGTTTGGTGACGATTTTCAACTCTGAAGGTGATATCAGCAAGGTGACATCAGTTTCTAGCATATCTCAGCAGTCCACCGGTGGAGCAGAACATGGGGCATGAGTTGAATAGTGCTTGCTTTGAAAACCTGCTTCACAAAATGTAAAATTCCATTTTCAAGGGCTTAATAGCACAGGCAGAAACAGTGGTAAGAAAATATGTCGGTTGTGAGGTGTTGCCTGGACCTCTGCCAAACGGCAACACGTTAAAGGAAAACGATACAAGTGGAGAACTGAGGTTGGATCAGATAAGCTTTTTGATTTGGATAGTAGAACTAACATCTGTGAAAATCTGGTTTTGAGTAATTTTTAACTCCTCTTTTTTGCATTTTAATTCTTATCTGAACCTAGTTACCTAGATTGCTTTAGTATTTGATCAAAACTTACAGTATCAAACAATATTCACTATTTGTGTACACAGATCAGAGTGGGGAACATTATTTTCCATACACAGTACAAGTATTTGTTTGCATATTCCTCATTCAGCAGGCATACTGTATCACCCTGAAACTCACAACTGGTAACCCACTCAAACTCAGCAGTGTGAGCCTGGTCAGTACCTGGATGGGAGACCTCCTGGGAAAGCTAAGGCTGCTGCTGTGAGAGGCATGTCTGATACAGTAAAACTGGCAAAGAGAAAACAATCCCAATGATAGATTATAATGATGAGCTGATTGTGTTGAGGTGTCATGATTTGTCAATGATGATTTTACATTTTAGGTTTGAAATTGATAAATGTAAACGCATCCAACCCAGTAAATGTGTACGGGTGAGTCATTCCTTTAGCATCCATCAGACATCGTTCTGTTGATACAAAGTGGTTCCTCTCTTGATATGTAGCAGTTTAGATCACCTGATCACCTGTTCAATTTCAACTCTTTCATTAACAGGGTGACCAAGCGCTAACGCAGCCAGCAAAGCCAGCTACTGTATATCACGGTCAGTCAAGAGTGATCAATTCATCAAATTAACAACAAAAACATTTGAACAATATTCAAAATGGATTTTTAAAAACATACATTGCTGTATAGTTTCTTTTTACCTGTATTGTACATCTATAGGTATATGCATTGTATATAAGATATATATGCACAGACATATACTCTATAGCTGTATAGTAGTATTTTTGTTTCACTAATAATGATACAAATGGATGAAGTTTCTGAAAAAACATGGGTTTTGTTCACCAAACAGATGATAATTGCAGTAATTGAAAGCAGTCCAGGAGCCAAGATATTCAGAGAAAGTAAAGTTTCTGGTGGCCCAGACAGAAAGTAATTCCGTGCAAACATTTCGTGTCTTCCAGGAGATAGACACATGTCCTATTTGTGCTGAGGTGTGGGCGGCGATAGTGGACAGTGGTATTTGGTTTCTTCTTCTGCTGTTACTGTATGTCCTCTGCAAAATGGCAGAGGTCTCTCTCGTGCTGTTCAGCCCCCTCACAGATGGACTTTCTGTATCTGATCTCACAGTGTCCTCTCAGTTGATGGTAATAATGTGCAGTAGCAGTACATTCCAGGCTCCAAAATTCATACATCTGTATTTCTAACAGACATACAGCACAGTATACAGTGTCATCCTGTCAAGTGTGATGAGTTTGAGAAACCTAACACTGCTCTTCTGGAAACGTGTTCTGTTGACCTCTATGCACAGAAGACACCAAGCAAATTCAATAGCTTCATTATTGCATGTTTTATTTATTTGAAAAAGAATGCTGGCTTTATTTGAATAAAGAGAGAAAAATTGTAAAAGTTGTAAAATTACAATCTTTATTTGAAACAATTATATATTTATTAATTATTTAAGGGTTTTTTATACATAGTGGCAGTCCTGAAATATGAATTCTTTATTCTATCCAAAGAACATCATTTGCCAGTTGCTTTTTGTGTTGTTTTTTTTTATTTGATGACATACTGTGATTCCCTAGTTCTTTGGCACATACTGTACAGTGACTTCAGTTTTTCCTTGAGTGGTTTTCGAATTCAATGTATCTCATAAGACCTGGAGTTAAAAAAAAGAACATACGACATATTCTGTCACCTTTCAAGCCTGAGGTAATGTTATACATTCTATAAGGGAAAGGATACTACTAGTTGATAATAATAGATGTCATTCACTTAAACGAAGCCAGGATTTTGGGAGTTTTGGAAAAGAAAGGGTAAAAGCTTTTAAGGGGTATAAAACACACTATAAAAGTGCCTGCATGCATACAAAATTTGAGAGGAAAGCCAACTTGGTTAGTTTTGGTACAGACAGTCAATAAAGGTTAGAACAATTATTTATGGTTCTTTTAAAAGTTTGCATCTCCACAATAAACAGACCAACAGAAGCTAAAAACTATTAACAAAGCACAGTCTACTATTTTTCCTTAAATCTTTGCATAGCAAACAGTAAAAAAAACATGTTTATTTAAATATCATTCTTAAAACACAATGATCAATCTGTTAAAAATGATCATGTGTAGGATCTTTTTTTCCCCTTTTTATTACATTACAGTTTAAAAAGTAAAAGGTGTTTTAACACAGCTCAGTTTTTATTGTGCAATAATACATGTATATATGTTAATTTAGGAAGATCCTGAATAGGCAGCCTTAAATTAAGTACATTAAACCCTTTATGGAAATAGTATTGGTATTAAAATAAAAAGGGCAGCATGGTGGCCCTATAGTGCTAGGGCCCTGGGTTCAATTCCAGACCTGGGGTGTTATCTGTGTGGAGTTTGCATGTTCTCCCTGCGTTTGCATGGGTTTCCTCCAGGTGCTCCCGTTTCCTTCCACAGTCGAAAGACATACTAGTAGGCTAATTGGCTTCTGGGAAAATTGACCCTCTTGTGCGTGTGTGCGGTTGTGTGTGTCTGGGTCTGTATGTGCCCTGCGATAGACTGGTGTCTCATCCAAGGTGTGTACTGCTTTGCACCCATTGCTTGTTGGGACAGGCTCCAGCTCCCTTATGACACTGTATTGAATGCACGATCAGAAAATACAGTAGATGGATTAAAATAAAAACAGCGATTGCCCAATTCGTTTCCTCAATGACTGCCTGTACAGGTCCTACGATTTAAAAAAAAGAGGACGAGCCATTGTGCTCACAACCAAGATGACTAGCGTTCAGAATGCATTAAAAACCTCAAAATGCATACAGCACAAATACTGTATACCTATGCTTAGATAATCCACAACCCTGCAGACTGTCTCAAAAATGAGAAATTTTCAGAGAAGCAATTATGGATTTCTTTTTGGAAAAATGATTAGAAAATATTCAATAATTCCTAATGTACATGGTGTGTAGCACCACTTGCTGATGGTTATGCTGATATCTGCACTATTCAGTGTATTCTGAAGTGCCCAGGTTCAAAAAGAATAAGTTATGTCTGATGTTTTGTTCCTGCTGTACCTGGATTTCACACCAAGTGCCCTAGAACACTTTTGAACATTCAGCTCTTTGAATGACCTTTCATTAATAAGGACAGTTTGAACTCTGTCTCTGTTGTGGTCTTGCAAATTGAGCACAGCTGCTCTGCGTATCTTCAGTGTCAAAGGCTCCCAGCCAGAGGTTTTACACATGACCAAAATTTTTACAAAAGCTGATTCGTAGTGTGTTCTCACTTGAACTAGGAAACCATTTTTAAAATCTTACATATCAAATGTATATTGAAAAAACACCAGTTATAAAAAACCCAGACTTATGCTGTTTGCATTGCTAACATTACTTTTACATATATCTCACAATCCAACAGCAACTGTATTATTGTTCTTCATGTTAGAATTAAAACTGAGCACTTATATATTATGTTATGTATTGTTTCAGTGAGAGGTTTGTCATTTGACTTCAGCAAAATGGCAATATTCTAGATTCAAACAATCTGTGCATACTATGGATTTTGTATTTTATCCTTCAGTACCATTTTACATACAGTATTGTATTTAAAAGGCTATAGAAAATATTGCTAGCTAATGAACATCACAAACAAGGTCCCAATCTGGGAATATCTGGTTCTCTTCTGCCATGGACATTTTGGTGCCTATCTTCTTAAAAAACAAAAACTATGTCCATTTGGAAAATGAAGCCATCCTCGATGGTTCCCATAGTTCCTTGCTTCTGGACAAACATCTGTATCTATTGGCAGCTTGTATCACATTGGTTTTAACCCAAGGAACTTGTCTAAATATTGAAAAGCAATCTTAGTGGGGAAAATGAATGGGAGTTATGACTTATCCTAACCCTCTGAATTATCATTCTGTTGGGAAGAAATTAATTCTTACCATCTTTCCTTCTGTACATCATTTACTAAATAATCCTTTTCTGTCTCCATTCCGCGCCATCTCTACTGAAAGAACACCTGACTTTCAACCTTCTCTGCCAAGAACTCTGTAGAATTCAAACCAATCAAACTTCTTCACAGCCTCCGAAGTGACAAAACCCCTGACGACGCTTGTCTCAGATTCCACTCTCAATGCAGAAGGACTAAATATAAAAAAAAACTCTTTCCCATTTTGAAGTTTGAACTTTTTTGTTAAAACATTTAAATATCTATACTGTATTGATAACAAAATCCTTAAAGGTTTTGGATGTATTTTAGTTAAACTGTTAGTTTTAGATGTACATTGGGATTTTTTTTTGCTTCATGGAGTAATGCTTTCACCTTCAGTAAAGCCAGTGTTTTCTGAGCAAAGGTTACTCTTACAATCTTTAAAAATAAATTCTGTTGCAGGACTTCTAATTGTGTTTTTTGATTCAGTGAAGCAAAAGGAAGGCTTTCTAGTACAATTGTAGCTACTCATGCATTAAATCCATCTGGTCACATTGGCTGAATGTGGCTCAAAATCTTTGGTTACAATGATTGGTAAGGCAGTCCTTCATATGTAATAACCACAGCAGTTGTCCAGATTCACCTCCTGGCTTTTTTCCTCTCCATTTGTTGTTTGAACAAAGGAGCTCAGGGCATACTTTGTATTTTGTGAACTCCACACATGCATAAACAAAATGCGAGCTTGTAGTCCTGTCCTGTGGCAACATGGCTGCTGGCATCCACAGGTGGTGTTTCTCGTCTGGGACAGAGACCGGAAGGAAGCCATCTTTTCCGAGTACTGCTGCGAGTACTGTCATTCATCCCCCTGCCAGGAAAACAAGAAAAACCCTCATTCGGGATGTGATTTGGCATCGCTCTTGTAGCATAAAATTACAGCCATGGTCCAAGCTCTGAAAACTGTCACATTTCAAATATAGAGAGCTGTTCTACAGAGTATTTACTATGCCACTAAGCACCTTCCTTGTTTGTCTCAGTATCAGTTCGTCTAACTTTTGGGACATTTTCAAATCTCATCTTTTCATGCAGAACCTGTGATTTGTCTGCACAGTTTGAAAACCTGCTGTTCCTCTTCAGCACTTTGTTGCCTGATATCTGCTACAGATGCCCATTTAGTTTTTACATTGCGCGCCTCTTACTCGTCCATTACACCATTATTCATTCTGTAACACGTGCCGCATTTCTTTAATATACATCTTCGATTACTGTATCTCTCATTGCATTGTTCTAATCGTGTACAGAATTATAATATTGTAGAATTTGTTCAATAATTGGATGTAGGATTAAGGCCTTTAGATTAAGGCTGCTACATTATTTGCTAAATTAATTAAAGCTCGCATGGACCGGATGATATTGAAAAAGTGTTATAAGTGGCCAGTTCTTGATTGTTTTGTGGTAATTTTAATATGTACTAATAAAACATTTAATTATTTAATCACCCATGTGATTAACTTAAGTCAGTAATAGAAAGGGAACACCCATTGTCGAATATACTTGAAGCTTTTTGAAATGTACTGTTTATCGTCATCTTTACTTAACTGTAATTTTTACCTATGATGGAGTCACAGATACTGTAACTGTAATCTTTACCTACGATGGAGTCACAGATCAACATGCTGGTATTTTAATCATGTTGGGGGAAAAACAACAGACTGTATGATTTTATAAGATTTTCATATTCCGAGACGATAATGACCACCTAAAACTTGTAAACCAAATGTTCAAACTGTGTGTTTTGTATTTGAATTATTGTAATGTAAGTTGAGTCTGCAAAAATTATTAATTTCCACAATGAATTATTGCTGCATGCTTCTGTACGCACAGACCAGTAATCAACAAATGTGGAGTCATTCTAATAAATCTGCACACTAGTGTGTATAGGATAAATAATCATTAAACATCCCTTGCAGTTTATAAAAGCCTGAAGGAGACATTCCATAATTGAAAGCCATTACTGTAATAGCTGCAAGAGGATTCTAGTGACAGCTCTGACATTTCCCAAGGTAGTCTGTGCTCAGCCGACAGAATTTACATATAAACAACTGTAACTTGGAGACACAGCCATTCTAGGAGAAAGGAAAATGAATGTGCTGTATGCCTGCACTGCCTTAAATGGACCGGCAGGTATGGTATTGAATGGGACAGAACTTAGTCTGAGCCAAACAATAAACACCTTTCTTGGAGCGCAAGAAAAAAATAATGACAGCTTAATACGTGTGTAAACCACATGTCTTGGCATAGATCTTAAAACTGGAAAATATCAGAAGGCCTGGTCTAACCTAACCAGATAAAACCTAAGGCAGGAAAATTCATTGTACGTAAGAAAGGAAACGTTTCTTTAACACTACACCAGTAAGATCATTCTCTTGGGAAAAATCAATGCTTCCATTTCTTGCCATTTTGTTTTATCAGTAAGACCATAAAATCCCTGTGAAACGGCTGTTCTGATATTTTTACTGTCTTGCACAAACATGAGATGGAAGGTTGTATGTAAGACAAAGGATATGTCATGATAGGATATTGTTAAAGATAAAAGGATATTGTTGTATTAGACATAAAAGCAGAAAATGCAAGGCAGAAAGGAGCATTCTGAGGCCTTTCTTGTGAAATGTGCCTCTACATAAAGCATAAAGTAGTAGTTTATGCAGTGAGTGTGCAACAGATTTGGTTTTCACCATACATTTAAATGTAAAGTTATTCCTTGTAGATACACAGGGTACTGAGAAAATCTTGGATTCTTGCAATCACCCTGCAGAACTGCTGTTTTCTTTAAAACAAACCCTGCTGGTTTATCCCTTTGAATTTTGTTGTACACCTGCTAGAAACTGCAAGGCTTCTGCTTACTTGTGCTGTGGAAGACTGGGTGTGTGGGAGGAAGGTTGTCTCACCTGAATCTCAGTCTCTCATGATAGAATGTGGACAAAGATGATGGCCAGGCCAATGTTCAGCAGGATTACCATGCAGATCATGATTGTGTTCGGTCCCTTGGGGAAAGAGGAGAAGAGGTACTTAACCTTTAACCTTCAACCTTTTTAACAGTTTTGACATCAATAGAGGATTCTGATTACAGATATAAGTTCACGGTTTGAAAATTCAAGAACTCAAGTTTCACAGTATCTTCCCCTTATTCATTTTCTTCTTATTTACCAAACCTTATTTGTGCCGGTGTTTAATATTTTGAATGCTAATACCACTACTTATATTCTAACATCGCCCATTACACCACTTAATATGGATCAATCTCAACCAAAACTCACTTAGGGCAAAATCACTCTACAACTTCATAATGTTCATTCAACATTGACATGAAAACGGGATGACTGCTGTCTTGCTTTTTAGTCTGTCACAGTGTGGTGACAGAGCCCTCTTGTGGTTTAAAATAGGAAAAATTGGTGATGTGGTAAAAGTGATAGTAGTCTGTGGCTGCTTGGCAGTCTGTGAGAGACCGATTGAAGAATAATAATTCCTTACACTTATAGAACACTCCACTCAAAGCCCTTTACAGGTAATGGGGATCCCCTCCTATACCACCAGTGTGTAGCCCCACCTGGATGATGCAAAGGCAGCCAGAGTGCACCAGCACACTCACCACACACCAGCTCTCAGTAAGGGAGGAGAAAAGACTGATGAAGCCAGTTTATAGATGGGGATTATTAGGAGGCCATGATTGGAAAAGGCCAGGGGGCAATTTGACCTGGACACTGGGGTAACACCCCTACACATTTTGAGAAACACCCTGGGATTTTTAATGAACACAGGACCTCAGTTTTATGTCTCATCTGAAGGATGCTGCCTTTTTTTACAGTATAGTGTCTCCTGTCACTATACTGGGGCATTAGACCACAGGGTTATCACCCCCTGCTGGCCCTACTAACACCTCTTCCAGCAGCAACCTTAGTTTTTCCCAGAAAGTCTCCCATTCAGGTACTGACCAGGCTCACACCTGCTGAACTTCAGTGGGCTGCCAGTTTTGAGCTGCAGGGTGATATGGCTGCTGGCAATAAGGTGATATGGTTGAAGGCTTAGTGCTCTCTGGAAGTGCTGTCATCTTGTAGAAAAATGCTCTGGTGGGCCTTGCCCAGACTTGAGTAAATGACTGCTGTAACGACCACCATAATGCGCTGCTTTGATTGCACCTGTGACAGCAGATACTCTTGGGTCATCCCAGGGCTAGCTCATCCCAGGATACGTAACAGGGACTTCCCTGAGTTTCAGGTTTCATACAGGCCATCAGAGCTGGATGCCTGGCATTTATTTCCTTTCTCCTCGCAAACATTTGGTACACCTTCTATGAAAATCTCCAAAACACAAAAGCAAATGAGACAGGTATGAAAGTTGGGACCTCTGGCCTGGATCCCTTTACTAAGGGCTAATAGGAAATGGGTAAGGAAGAGTTGAGACTCAATGGAGATGCTTTAGTCCCGGACTTGAAATACCACTTATCCGCCTCTCCTACCCACACATCAGAGACTCCACAATGCAACTCCCCTGGCAAGGGAAAGAGACCCTATCTCAGGGAACTATCCTGGAACCAGATGGCAGATCCCACCTCATGCCACATGCAGATCCAGGTGGCTGAAATGAATGGGTTTCATTAGTAGCAGGACACATGAAACACAAATTATTATACATTATTACACAAAACCCTTGTTCTGCATGAGCTTTCAGTTTAATATGAAATATGCCCATCCTCATATCCAGTAATAATTATGGAGGAAATAAAAGTTTTCAGGAAGGCAAACCTGTTACAATTAAGCCCATTGTAAAATACTAATGTATCATTTGCCGCTTTCATTTAAGAAGGCCTGACTCTCAGAAGTTATCTAAGATCTTCAGTTCATTGTGTGATGGTATAATTTTAGATTCAAGGATCACTGGTAACGTGCCATTGTGACTGGAAGAAAGCTTTTGTGAGGCAGTTCATCCCTTGCCAAAACTCCCATCATAACACTCAGACTGATGTTTTTTCTTGTTTCTATTAAAAGTCTTTTTAACTGTGAAGGAAAAACTGGCAGCTGGTACAAAGTTAACTGAGTAGAAGATAGGCTGCTATTTTAACGAGGAGCCCTGCTACTCAGATCAAGTCTTCTGCTTACTGCATTGCAAGGGTGTCTGAGAGAGAACCTTAACAAAATAATTGCACTGCAGAAATGTTGGCAGTTTTTCATTGTGACAGTGCCGTGTGACTGTTAATCTACAAGCTGATGATAAAAACAGAAAGTGATGATTCACTCACAAATAAAATAAAATTGAACACGTTGGATTCTGAGATCACAGATGTGTTCCCTGTATTACTCTGAGGCTTCTGGGAGAAAGCAATAGACGTAAAACCTTGGAGCTCTGTGTTTTCCCCTCCCTTCATCAACTTGATTTTTCATGATTTTTTATACACCTTTAATCCTTTGAAAGTTTAACAATTCAACTGTGTTGGAATACATATTTTTAGTATGGGATTTCCTTGTACAGATATTGATTTTCATTGCTTTAGGTGTGCTTTCAATTTATTATCAGTAAAACCCCCGACATGGCTGCAGGTACTGAATTTGAAATAACTCCTGTGCTTTTTAAATTATTGCTCCACGTGGCAGGTAGTGGTTAATCACGGAGCAAATGGGCATCACGGGTCCCATTAATCCCATTTCAAACATTAAAGATGTTTGAAAGAGCAGGGTTGTCCTGGCTAAATTCCACTCTGGGCTTAACGCACTTTGCTCAAATTCTCCCCTTAATTGAATTGGCGAAGGAATTGCTCACTTCTCTTCCTGATCTACTGTGTAGTGTAGCTATAGATGTGTAACGTGAGATACCCAGGTGACTGTGGCATGTCAGCAGTGGGTGAAGAGGATCACCTCCAATATGCAAAGCACTGAACGAATGCAAGGAAATTCTTTTATTTATTTAATGTTTCCACCTCTTATCCATCCTTCCAATGTCTACCCCTTTCTTCCAGCTAAGGACATATCCCAGCAAGCAATGGGTGCAAGACAGGGTATTCCCTGGATGGGATGCCAGTCCCTCACAGGGCGCACACACATACCCAGAAGCCAATTAACCCACCAGTATGTCTTTGAGCTGTGAAATTGGAGCATCCAAAGGAAACCCATGCAAATACTGGAAGAACATACAACTGCCCTGTTAACTGGCTTCTGGGAAAATGGCCCTAGTGTGAGTGTGTGTCTACTGTACTGTATGTTTGCCCAGAGATGCAGAGACGTCCCGTCAGGCAGGGTGTATCCTGCCTTGCGCCCCGTGGCTTGCTGGGATAGGCTCCGTCTCCCCTGTGACCCTGAATTGGATTGGATAACCCTGAAGCGGTTAGAAAATTGATGGAGGATGAATGCCAGGTTATCAGGGCACATGTTCCCTGCCAAGCAGTAGGGAAACTTCAACACTTCACTTCAACAAGAAAAAAAAACATTTTGGTAGGGTGTGTTAGTGCACCTCCGTAGATGTCCACAGACAGAGAAGGCTCAATCCAGCACTCAGGACAACAAAATGCTTTCCTGTATTGAACCCATGGAACTGGGGCCCTCCTTACAAATGATCTGGGGTTGTCAGCGTTAGCCTCGTTCTTCAGTACTGTATGTGGATCCTCATCATAAGAACATGGGAAAGGTAACAAACTAGAGATAACTGTTTGAGTCATCTACCTCATTTGGCTGCAGGCAGCTAACTGATCCCAGAGAATGCAGACAATCCACTGCTTATCTGGGGCTGCATTCCTTCAATATCTACTGAGCTACTGTCCAAATGAGGGTGTGGGATGATTTTGACTGTCCCTGGACAGAACTTTGCCACTGGACCTCGGAGTCACTTTCCCTTCTTTCCCATCAGTCTACAAGTCATAGAAGCTATTTCCCCTGTGACTGGGAACAGCCCTTCCGATTAATTTGAGTGAAAACAAATTTCAGACAGCAAACCACCAGGTAAATAAATAAGGAAAAGACTTGCACAGGAAAGCAGGTTCATAGAAAATCACCTGCCCGCATTCACAGTGATGCCACATGACGTTTGCTCAGACTGACCTCTCTCAACACCATAGTGCCTGCAGATGCAGCGAGCACTCGCTGGCCTTCATTACGGTACCTAATTGCGGAGGGATGATGTTCAGTTTTCACCTCTTTGTGGTGAGTGGCATTGTACATGCAAACCGAACAGAGGAACCTTCAATTTTAAAAACTATTATGTAAGTACTGGAAACTGTTTTGTAAAAATGTTACCAGATCTATTATTGTGTGTGCATCATATGTACTGTAAACTAAACACGGATTCTACACTACTGTTTCAGAATAGTTCTAACTACAGCACAGTCATCGTACTGGGACATTGCTTTGGTAATTATGGTCAAGGGAAGAGCACCACCTACTGGTCAACAACACTTCTTACAGTAGAAACAAGACTTTTCCTAAAGGTCCCCCTCCAAGTACCGACCAGTTCTAGCCTTGATCAGCTTCTATGATCTGATAAGGTCAGGCCACAAAATAGTTAATCAAGGTTATTAAGTTAAAATTAACCTCAGTTTTAAACTCAATAAGTGTTATACTTAATAAAGGAGTGAATATTATTTCTGAAATAAGTGTGAAGTAAGCCTTAGTGAGTGTTCTCAGCTTTAAACAAACAGTATGTTGTTTTTTTTCTAAATCCCTTTACGCAGCCAAAATAAGCTCTTCATATCAGGTTTTTTTAATACAATATCTGGTAGTTCGCTAGTTTACGGTGTTACAGGTGGAAACAAGAAAGAAAAGATGCTGGTTTTTCAATCCAAAATTAACTCTGCTTCAGGGGAAATGTAGATACTGTACAAAACACTGAATAGACCTGGGAGAAAAATAAAACCTCCCCCGTATTTTTATAACAGCTATTTTCTATTGCCTGATTTTATTTCTTGGTATAGAGACACAAAGGACTGATTTCCTGAACGGTTTGTTTGTTTCCCCATGTCTGAAGGAATCAGGAAGAAGTCTTTCATGGTGTAAACATACAAGACAATCACAGAAATGAGATGTGCTTTACTGGATGGTTAGAGAAGTTCAAGTAGCACACAGAAACCAGAGCTCTGTGAGACTAAAGCTTTGTCTACAGAATGGCTTCGTAAGTGCTCGGTAGTTGAGGAAACATACTGTTCTGTCACCACTGGCACGCAGAAGACCTTCTTTTTTTTCCCTTTGACGCACAAAGGATTCCTCTGCCTCTGGAGTCTATCCCTGCCCTGTCACTGGGACAGAACGGAGAACACAAGACCCACACACACAAGACGTACAACGTTTTGACTGGTTACTTTAGGTGTACAACTTAAAGCAATGAGAGGACAGTAATCACTCTGGGTGGGGGAAAAAAAGGTTAGTAGAGACTCTTTGCGTTTAACAGCACATCTCCCGTACTGTAAACCTGTTTGTGATTCTCGGTATTCTCAGACAAACCTCTTCATCTGCAGACGTGTCCTTCACCTCAGCACGGGACTTGGTGCCTGCCTTTGGTCTGGCCTCAGATCTAGACTCTGTCTTGGAGGCTGCCTTGGCAGCAGGCCTGGCCACAGCCTTAGGCTCCACTTTAGTCACTTGCTTAGCCTCCTGCTTCACCACTGAGGCTCTGAGCTCCGGCTTGGCGGGGGGTTTCGGTTCTGGTTTGGCCGGGAGAGAGGGTTCGGCTTTCAAAGCTGGCTTGGGAGGTGCCGCCTTCCGCTCTTCCTTCACCACCGCCCTGGGCTCGGGTTCCTTGTGGGGGCCCGGCGTGGGCAGCCGCTGGGGAGGGGGCTCCGGCTGGGTCTCTCTGGGCTTGACCTCTGCCGCGGGCTCAGGGGCGGCAGGTTTGGAAGGCACTTTGGAGACGTGGACAGCTACTTCATCCTCCTGGGGATAGATGATGGTGGTCCTCACGGGGTAGCTGTGAAAGCTCCGGTGGACGTCGGCGGGGCTCGGCTCGGGCGCCTCGATCTTCTGCAGGGGCTTGATCTCCAGCTCGTAGCCGCTGTTCGGGTCGCCCCTGTTGCTCTGCCGGCTGGAGGGGCGGGAGTGAGGACGGCTGCCGGGGGCCGTCCTCTCGTCCCCCAGTGAGACGAGCGCGTTGGACGGGGTGTTTGGCCGGCTGCCTGGGCGACTGCTGCCCCGGCTTCCGCCTCTGCTGCCCTGGTCGCCGTTCCAGCTGCCCGGGCTGAGGCGGTTGGGGTCCTCCCGGCGCACGCCCTGCTTGGATCGGCGGCCCTCCGGGGGGGTCCCGGCCGGGCTGGACGAGGGGGTGCGGGCAGGAGACGATTCTCGCCCCACGCTGTCTTTCTCGTGCAGCTGGGGGCTCTCGGGGGGAGTGGGGGGCGGCTCCTCTGTAGACGGCACTTCCTGCTCGGCGTTGTCTGCATTCTCGTTGCTCTCGGTGATCTCCTGCAGCATTCGTCTCTTCAAGTACTCTGGGCCTACGACGAAAAGCAAAGCATACTTGAAACTGAGTTTTTTTTTAGCTTTTATATCCAAAGGCGGCCTAGTGGCGCAGTGGTTAGCGGTCGGTAGTCTCGTAGCCTCGCAGCGCTGCGGTCTTGGGTTCAATTCTGGAGCTGGGGTGCTGTCTTGTGTGGAGTTTGCATGTTCTCCCTGGGTTTGTGTGGGTTTGCTCCAGGTGCTCTGGCTTCCTCCCACACACAAAGACATACTGATAGGTTAATTGGCTTCTGGGAAAATCGACCCTGGTATGAGTGTGCGTGTGTGTGTTTGTCCAGGGTGTACCCTGCCTCGCGCCCGTTGTTTGCTAGGTTCGGCTCTGGCTATTCCCCGACCCTGAACTGGGAGAAAATGGATGGATGGATATCTGAAAGATATCTATACAGTGCCCACCAAATTAATCCTACTCCCCCTGAGACAGAAACAAAAAAGCATCATCTAGAAGAGGGAATTTAAAACATATTTGTCATAAATAATTCACTGATTTCCAGGAAACACAAGACCTACAGTACAGTATATGTATTCAAATTTCTAAGTCTTCCTTTACATAAAATAAAATTAAAATGAGTCTCTCAAAGTGTCCTGCTCTTTGGAAGTGGAATAATATCTGGAACCACACTGAGTCCTCCTAAGATTAAGGTTAAAGAATTCAGGCGAGTGCAGGCAAAAGGTCATTAACTTGTATAAGCAGGGGTGATGGCTATAAAAGATTCTCTTAGGTTTTGTTGTTATTTTGCATCTACGGATCACAGAGCTCTTGTTAAGATAGGAATAACACCCCAAGACTCCAGCTATCTCCAACACTAGAGTATTAGAACATTTTGGAACAAAAAAAACCACCTGATTCCCTCAGCCAAGAAGATCAATCTGAAAATAGACACTCCATCATGACAATGATCAAGAACATCATACAAATCCAAAAACAACATGTTGACTCCAAGAAACAAACCTCCAAACCTCAATCCAATCAAACATCTAAATACAAGAAGCTACAGTAATTCACCCCTGGATACAATGGAATTATCTTTTTGTTTTCCTCAAGAAAAGACAAACAAAAAAAGCACAGACAACTGACTGGAGTCAAATTTGTAAACAGACATTAGCTGTTGTGTTGATGATGTAGTCTGTTAATTAAAAATTCAAAAGGACATTCTGAATTAGAAGTAGAATACCTTGTATTGAGATACCAGGCATTACTTAATATTAAACATCAAAGATGTGGGATCGGCACCATCTAGATGAAATAGTGCTTTGTAGAGAGATGTTTTAAATAGTACTTATTTTTAATACTCTATCAATACAAGTTAAAGGGGAGCTGGAGCCAATCCTGTCAAGCAACAGGCACAAGGTATTATACACCCTAGACAGGATGCCAGTCCATCATAGGACACATACAGACATACTGTGCACACACTCACACCAGGGCCAGTTTTTTCCCAGAAGCCAATTAACCAATTAACCAGTGTATCTTTGTGGAGAAAACTTCAGCACCTAGCATATGCACATACTGTGGGGAGAACATATGAACTCCTCAGGCAGCAGCCCAGAATTGAACCCAGGGCCTCTGGGTTAGCAATGCTAACCTCTCTGCTACCAGGCTGCCTGTTATTTAATATGGTCCCAGTAAATTTAGGATACAAGGTTACAGTACTCATGGTCTGCAGTTGTATATATCTTCAGATCCCCGCCTCGTACTTTAGCATCTTAAAATGAGAATGTGGTACAGCTGTAGTCTAAATCAGTATTTATAAAAATAAATCTTTCCCAACTGCTTGACCTTCCCTGTATGTTCATCCCAAAAATAACTTCTACCATGGAACATTATCTGTTGCACTGATCTTTATTAAAGTTATCAAATACTTTACATGAGATTTCTAGGCCTGTGTGAAAGTATTCTTTGATGGAGATGGATTAAGAGGTGTCACCTTGTTGATTTCTAAACTATATTTGCATCAGAATGAAAACCCAGGAGTCAGTCTGTCTATTGTCGGCGTGCTCTAACATTTTCTCAAGTAGCTTTTCACTTCCAGGACAAATTCCATATGAATATCTTCAATGAAAAATGAAATGGAGGTCATGCACAAGGTATCTTAGTTAATTATTCATTCGTTTTATGGTAATTATTTTAATCAGAACAGTGTCGTAGAGCTCCAGTGCTACCGTAGTTGCTAAAATAGAATTAGGAATATTGGGTGAATGGTTTCAGAAGACAAAATTGTTACTGAAAAGATAGTTAATATTCATCAAGATCTAATGGGCCTTGACATGAACAATCTAAAGAGGTTTGTAAAGAACTTTAAAATGACACCAGGGTTGTGTTTGGAGCATGTGTAGATCAGAAGGTGCAATGTTTGAGGAATCCTGAGAAGGTAGACAGATGACCATTTAAAATGAACATACCTTTAAGTTTATTTGAAATATTATTGTGAATTCTCAATATCTCAAAATCTATCTCAAATCGTCCCTCCACAGGACAAATATATGTGCTATGTTTCAGGAACTTTTTTGAAACAATCATTTTGATGGAGCTGTGGTTTACCCTTAACTAACCCTCAGTTTTGTTATTTCCTTGTTTCCCCTGAAAATGCTATACTGAAAACTGACACAAAGTCTTTTTTTTTTTCCCCAATCGAGACCTGGAATTTATACACCATCTTCAGACATTCTAAATATCACCTCTGTGGCCATTTTACACAGTTTTCCCTGCACAATGTTGCACAAGTGTGTGTGATGTGCAGTCTAAATACTGTTTTTTTACTAAACGTTTTATATTATGTAAGTATTTATTTGAACTAACAATAACACCTCCAAAAATTATTTGAGGCTATTTATTTATGTACTGTACTAGCTTCAAGTGTGGTAGTTGATTTGGTAGCTTTTCTCAGGACAATACGGTATAACAATTTAAACATTCTGAGTCCCCGGCAGCTGCATCTGGTGAAGGATTTCAACCCTCTTTTCATTCACCTCAACTGAAGAAAGAAGTTAATTTTGGAAAAAGACAGAGGAGTGGGAGATCCTGAGCATTTTGTCTTTCGAAAGTCAAACAATACAGCAAATGCCAGTAAAAACAGAAGCTCACACAAAGATTTGGGGGTGTTGTCATAAGCAGTGTAACTACAGTATATAAACTATTTTTTTCTGCTTTACAGATTATTTTTTGTATTCCTTCCAGTACTGGAGGGGTACTCCTTTTTCCTCGACGGTCACCATGATTTGAAATGTTTGTTTGCAGAAGCAAAGTGTATTATAAACAACTTGCGCTCTCTACACTTTTACAAAATAAGTTTAATGCCAATATCTAAAGCTACAGAACTCTGATTCATAATTTGTGTGGATACTTTATTAATCCATAAAACCTCAGAAATTGTTTAATTGTCTTTAATAACCTGTCCAGGGATTGCTAACACAGAACAGTTGTGTGGTGTACAGTCAGTGTATCAGATTTCATGACTTGTTACTACATAATACGAACGGGGGAAATTTACCTCTAAAAGTCATACATTACAGTAGCAAGTTAATTCCTTTTTATTAGATACTTCTTTATCAATAATTAAAAGGTTGAGTGATTTTATTTCTAGTGTGCTAATTCATATAGTTCCTACGCAGTACTAGAGATCATTGTCAAGTATTAAAAGTTTTTCCACAAACTTATTCATTAAAAAAAGAATATTGTGCAAAAGTCTACAGTATATCCATGAATGGAAGATTCTGCTGTGATGTTCCTGGGTGGCCTTAATGACAGGGGGCCATTTTGGCTCTTGTGTGGGCAGGTAGTAGTCACTGAGCCAAAATGGCTACTGACAGCTCACTATTTGAGCATAGATGCTGCAGGGATAATCAAGGCCCGGCTGAAGTACATAAAACCTGTAGAGCCAGACAGGGGTGTCTTTTTGGTGAAGACATGGGAAGCTGAGGCTGAGGGTGATGAATTTCAATGGAAAAGGTAGACCATCCACAATGAAGCTTTGTGTTGTGGTTTGTGAGGAACAGGATTTTGCCTGGCTTATAATAGGCCGGAAGACCCAACCTAAAGCGTACTGTAGATAACACTCCAAGAGAGTTAGGTTTCATGTGATGTTTTTATTCAATAGTACCACCTTGTGGAATTGAAATGAATTAATTTGGGCTTCTGTTGTGCAAGTATTGCCACAAGACGGACATCTGATAAATTCCTTACACAAATTATAACTAATACCCCGTTTTTCAAAAGTAACCTCCCAAATCATGTACAGTATATGTACGTCTTTTCACATTTTCTTGAAAAAGGCTAAACAGGACACAACTTCCATATTGAGGTAAGCACCCTCAAAAGTGCTTGAACTGTCAGTTTTTACAGTCCCACTTTTGTCTATCCATATTATGTGTGTGATTATTCTGCAAGACTCCAAGCTAACAGTTTCAAAGGGTTCACATCTGCTCCATTTTGTATTGGGAGTTTATGTTTTCTCCACATGTAGTAAAGCATGTAGTCTGTCACCTTGGTCTTTCATCATTTTTTATCTACAAAGTTCAAAGCCAATGGAAGCACATGCTGTACAGGAAAGGCTTCACGCAGATAACATGACAGTGTGTTTTCGCGGCAGCACTGACCCCTGTGTATGGATCCTCTAGGCCAGAAATCTCACAGCTTGCATGACTGCACCCTTCCTGATGACTGTATCTCTGTGGGACCTTTATTCGTAGTGGCAGAGAGGAGCTTGGCAGCGCCAGGCCTGTTGCCGTCACAGATTGGGTACCTGGCTGGTAAAAGGAAGGCGACAGCTCCCTGGCGACCACCCTGGCGATGCTGGACTCGTTGTTCGCTGCCTGAGAGGCCTGGTCTGCTGCTTCGGACTTGGCTTTGGCGTGCGCCGTCCTGCGGGGAGACAGTCCATAGGTCAAGTGTCTAAACACCAATAAGCTCTGAAAAGAGATCACCCGTATGAGAAGACGTCAAGCGCTTGGAAAGGCACCTTCCAAACTGCGCTGTGTGCTGTACTACAGTACTCAGGACATAGCATTCATGCAGCAACAGTGTTTATGAAAGAGCCTGCTGTTCTGGTTATCAAAGCAGAGCGGTTCGGTCTTTTGGCACTTGGCACTTTTAGTAGCTCACATCTTTGCAAAAATGTTTATTTTATACCCCCTTCTCCCACACGTCAGATGTGTAATGAATTACAGTCTTTGTTTGAAGTTTCACCGCTGGGCTGCTTGGCCTATACGCTCCACACTGCAGAGACGTAAATGTTTAGGTAATTGTCTCGGAATGCAGGAATACAGGAGCTTCTACAAAGCGGAGTGTTTGTGCAGGGAGAGCTGTGTCAAGAGTGTTGCAGAGTGGTTGATATCTTTTCCTGCTCCACTGACCATAAAGGGGAGAACTCAATCAGAACACCAAGCCAGTGCAGCAGAGGTTTATGTGGTAAATTTGTAAGTTTACAATTTAATTTAATTAAGCTAATACATTTAATAAATAAATTCGGCTTCAGCCTCTTGGGGGGAAATGAGTCAGATTGATCATTTTGGACATCTTTGTTCTGAAGAAGTAAAAGTATTGAGAGTTTACAATTTAATTTAATTAAGTTAATACATTTAAGAAATAAATTCGGCTTCAGCCTCTTGGGGGGGAAATGAGTCAGATTGATCATTTTGAACATCTTTGTTCTGAAGAAGTAAAAGTATTGAGACTTTAAAGTACTGTAGGTCGGGCGTCAGGTAAGCAGTTTTATAAAGCTGTAAATGTCCGAAAAAACTGCATGGGTCAGAAAATGATCCACTGGAACCTGTTTTGGAATGTTCAAGAAACAGATTGCACATGCAATTACAGTCCAGGCAAATTCACGAGTTAATTTATTCCTAATGTAGAATAATGATACTATATAATAAGATACTTTATCTGTCATACACAGCTTTCATCTTTCATCTTTCATATGTGTATGACATCATCCAAGCAGACACTGTGCCTGTTTTTCACAGCTTTACTATGGTCCAGTATGTTTAAACTAAAGACAAAATCACAGTTAAATGTACTAAACCAAGTGAAATTATAGTATAATGTGGTAAACTAATATTAGACAGGACAAATTGCAGAACAAATTGACTGCATTTTATAATTATTCTAAAAAATACATTAAAGTTGCAATCCTACAGTGATCATCTTTCCTAGAGAATTCCACACGCCCATTTCTATTATCGCTCCTGTTAAATATTCTCAAGCCAAAGATCCCTCAGGAATTCCTTGGTCCTGTATTAAGAGGGGCGATTCGGCACTTTTCCGCACTATAAAAAGAAATAAGGACATTCCCATCACCTCAGGAGCCCTGCCCTCGCCAGATCTCGGCTGTATTGAATGTCAGGCCATCTGAACTCAGCGTTGTAAACAGGCCCTTGATGGCCTGCAGTATAAAGTTCACCCTATATACAGTGCACTATATACAGTACCTGCAAGGACTCTGACACGGAGTCAGAAAAATAGATCATATGGGGAACATATTTTTAATATCTCTTCTTTTCCATGGCCAAGTGCTATTCACGTGGCTCACTAATATTGACAGAAATGGAGGTCCTTTTTCAACCAGTCTGAAACAAAGGGCATTTTGAACACCCCAGTCTCGACAGTAATTCGTATTGCTGAGCGTTCATAAACAACCCTTTCACCCATCTTTGTGCCAAACTCCATAATTCATGGGAATGATGATGATGTGTTTCTAATTTCGAAGAAGGGAAGACTCTATCCATTGAGTGTCAGAGTAACACCCTGGGAAGCCCAGGAGCAAAGCAGGTGCAAAACCCAAGGAGAAGCAAATGACATCTGGCGTTTATATGAAAGCAAGACAGGCACAGGTGAAAAATAGAATTGTTCTGATGCAGTGAGGCGATTAATTATAGCTGACTCAGATTAATGCCCTTGCTGTCTTAACTCAGTGTTTGATTTAAGATTACACCAGACACCATTGCTGCAGCAAACACTGAACTTGTTTTTGTTGCTGATCCTGCCACACTGACACGATTCAAGCGTAGCCCGTCTCTGAGGTTTAACAAAAGACGTGGTTATTAGTCTACTATCTTCTGCTTGTGAGGAAAAAAACATTTGTGTCTGCAGCAAACTTTGAAAAGACATTTTCAAATGTCAGATGAGATACATTTATCTTCCTCTTCTTTAAATTCACACGTTTTCTCTGTTTATAAGCATACAATCCATTTAAACTTTATTTCCCTACCAGCTACACTCATTTGGGGCCGAGGCAGTTGTTGGCATTCTGTTCCATGTTTTTAAATTGCTAATGCTTATATGGCTTTCCCCCTTTAAAAAAAAATCATTGTCTTTACAGCAGCTGTCTGATGTGTAATTATAGGTTTCTCTGCGGATTTGGAAGTAAAGTTCAGCATTACCAATATCTCTGTCACGCTGGGAGTATTACCGATTGTGATTACTCCATGAATACTTTAAATGCTGTAACATTACACTCGTCCCGAAATAGCTACTCCCACTTGATGTCTGTGAAGGGAAAGACACTTCCCCATGGAACAATTAGAGAGACACTAATCTCTCCATCAGATGGATGGGCAGCAGGCTGTTACAAATCATCGTGTTTTCTATCAAGACTGAAACGGCATGGCACTCCAAGATGGAAGAGCACAGTCTTGATAATATTTAGGATTTAGAATCTGGGGAACAATGGACAGCTGAAAGTAAAAAGGAATACCTACGGGCAACTACCCTGGATGGATTTGCTTTTCTATATTCCCTGTATTTTTCAATGCTATAGAAGTGCAGTAATACAATTAAGTGTCGTCGGCGCGTTTTTTCTTCTGGGGCCTATAGGAAAATGGTGCTGACAGTCCACCACAATTATTTCTCATTCCATGTCCTACTCTAGAAATCACAGTTCTAAGCAGAAAGGAAATCAGACCTTTAATCTGTTATGCCCCAATGAGCTCCAGCACTGCTGCATCAGCTCCACCAATTGCCAATGCACATTCTGCACATGCTGGAGACTCATTGGGGCCATCCTCAACGAGATCAGGCCGGGCCTATCAGGCCAATTAGGGAACATCACACAGTATTTAAGCCCTGAGGAATCATCCCTCAGGGCTCAGACATTGAGTCACTAACCCTGCCTTGAGTTTGTCTCAGTTTCAGGTCCACAGAAGTATTTC